GCGCCGTCCGGACCGCCGCTCGGACGGCTCTAGTTTTCAGAGCGGCCGCCGTGCCCGGCTGTGTTATCAGCTGTCGCCGCAGCGGCACGCGTGCGCGTGTGCGCGGCTGGTGACGCACGGAAGCAGAGACCGGCCGGGGTCGGGTGGGTCGGGTGCTGGCCGGGCCGAGGTCGGATGCTGGCCGGCCGGGGTCGCGTGCTGGCCGGCCGGGAGCGGGTGCTGGCCGGGTAGGGGTTGGGTGCTGGCCGGCCGGGATCGGATGCTGGTCGGCCGGGGTCGGATGCTGGCCGATCGGGGTCGGGTGCTGGCTGGCCGGGAGCGGGTGCTGGCCGGCCGGGGTCGGGTGCTGGCCGGCCGGGTCGTATGCTGGCCGGCCGGGAGCGGGTGCTGGCCAGCCGGGAGCGGGTGCTGGCCGGCCGGGAGCCGATGCTGGCCGGTCGGGAGCCGATGCTGGCCGGACGGGGGCGGGTGCTGGCCGGCCGGGAGCGGATGCTGGCCGGCCGGGAGCGGGTGCTGGTCAGCCGGGAGCGGGTGCTGACCGAACGGGAGCGGATACTGGCCGGCCGGAGTCGGGTGCTGGCCGGACTGGATCACCGGCTCGCGTCCCTCTGTCGGCCAGTGACGGGCCCGGGCCCCCCTGATCGCCGCCGGCCTGGCAGCGCGCCGCCCACGTCACGGCCGCGGGCTGTGACGAGGCCCGGGCGGAGAGGGTATTTTTAGACGCGGGACATGATAAGGGAGTGCGTTTCCGTCCGGCTTCTGCTTGGGGTTGATTTGTCGGGTTTCTAAACCCGGTTAGTCCAGGGTCCAGGTTGTATTCGGATGAAGTTAACTCTTTTGTGAGGAGGTTCAAAGTCATTAGGAACGAGCACGTATGAAACAGTTACGCACTAGAACACTTGGTGCACCCTTGTCGATGTGCTCCTTTTTCCTTTCGCTTTTTACCATTCCACATCTTAATGGGCTTGCCTGTTTTATCGGGACACCTAATCCTGCTCTCACACAATCTAGCTATGCCTGCCAGCTCATCATTTCGTCATTGTCAATGAATCCGTGCCCTAAACTTGGAAGACTGATGGCGTTCGGCCGGAGAAATTTCTGGGCTGCTGACCTCATGATATCGGATGCTTTTGATGCGCTCAGTGCCCCCACCCTCCCCCTCTCGTCGCCACCACCATAGCCGGTGCCGTTTGCCACGCTATCCCTTTAGTTACACCCAGTTGACGTGACTTCATTCCTAAGGACACGTGACCTTTCCGGCATTCTGAGGCCTCTGACACTTGACATCTCTTCCCTATGATATCGAACCAGTGCACCGAACCGTATAACTAGCGAACCGCTGGGTCTTCTAACTATCGGACCCTTGCATCATCAAACCTTTATGTCGTCGACCTCTCCGCTCCGCAACACCCTCGTCCAATGGAGCCCCCGGTTCTCGTTTCATCGTTCACCGGCCGCCACCGCTCCGCCGGCAGGACTTCGTGGACACGAACCGGCTGTTGTCGCCGGACAACGTGAACAGGAGAAGCTGATGCAGTACGCGCGCGAGGCGGCCGACTTCTCCACCGACCACCGGCTGCCGCAGCTGCCGTTCGCGCTCAACCACTACGGCCGCGAAGACGTGGCCATGTTCGACTTCACCTGCATGTATGCCTCGCTGAACGCCGGCAAGGTGATCGAGCGGTGCGGCCACAGGCTGTTGCTGCAGCTGGTCGGCGACAGCCTGCACGAGGTGAGCGACGCGGCTGGTGGCGCTGAGAGGCGCCGCTTCATCAGCTGCTGCTGTGCTGGATTGTTGACCCGTTTTTGTGTGTTTGTAGACATCAGTTTGACTATTGGCGAGTACGGCCCACAATGTTGACTGGCACTGGTTTGGTTAAAAGGGATAGGCCTTCGTTAGAAACGGATTGTCGTATTGGGACTTGAAGTGTCGCGTAATTTCTCAACTAATGTATCCCATAGCACATGTGTTCGAAGCCGGCTGGTACGTTGTTTGAAAACCACCACCCAGCGTCCATGGATGCGCCTGAAGTCCGTGTGACAATCTCTCCCCCTCCTCTGGGCAGCCGTTCTGGCCGACGGGCAGTGGCTGCGCCCGCGGCTTCCTGTCCTGCTTCGACGCGGCCTGGCAGATGCGTGCCTGGGCTAACCCGCGCGTCACGACGCTCGAGTGTCTGGCCGAGCGCGAGTCCATCTACCGGCAGCTGGCGCAGACGACGCCGCGCAACCTCAGCTGCGAGTACGGCGGCTACACCCTCGACCCGCGCACCAGGTTAGCACCGGGCTCGACCGGCGGGGGCAGGGGTCAGGGACGGAATGGACCGGACTGGCGGGGCGTGTCAGGGACGGGACGGGCTGGACCGGCGGGGGCGAGTCAGGGACGGGACGGGACGGGACGGGCCGGACCGGTGGGCGGGTCAGGGACGGAACGGGCCGGACGGGCGGGGCGTGTCAGGGACGGGACGGGCCGGACCGGCGGGGGCGGGTCAGGGACGGGACGGGACGGGCCGGACCGGCGGGCGGGTCAGGGACGGAACGGGCCGGACGGGCGGGGCGTGTCAGGGACGGAACGGGCGGAACCGGCGGGGGCGGGTCAGGACGGGACGGGACGGGACGGGACGGGACGGACGGGCCGGGCCGGGCCGGACCGGCGGGCGGGTCAGGGACGGAACGGGCCGGACGGGCGGGGCGCGTCAGGGACGGACCGGGCCGGACCGGTGGGGGCGGTCAGGGACGAGACGGAACGGGCCGGACTTGCGGGGCGGGTCAGGGACGGGCCGGGCCGGACCGGCGGGGACGGGTCAGGGACGGGCCGGGCCGGACCGGCGGGGCGTGTCAGGGACGGGCCGGGCCGGACCGGACCGGGCCGGGCCCGACCGGCGGGGGCGGGGGTCAGGGACGGGACGGGCCGGACCGGCGGGCGGGTCAGGGACGGGACGGGCCGGATTGGCGGGGCGTGTCAGGGACGGGCCGGACCGGACCGGACCGGGCCCGACCGGCGGGGGCGGGTCAGGAGCGACCTGGGTTGGGACCTACAGTAAGAGTAGCAGTAGACCTAGTTCTCCGACAAGGGGAGAATGGGGTGTTGGTCGGGTAAATGTGGGATCGGTAAAGTTCAAGAGAGAGGGACTGTGCAGCAAGTTTTGCTGGTGTGCAATTGACTTCACCAAACTCAACGAGGCCTGCTTGGTATCACCACGGTTTTGCTTAATGTAATGGTGTTGCTGAACATCCTGCGGCTGATCAGCGATCGTGCATCCACATCAGTCGGCATCACCAGCCTGTCCGCCACCGCCAGTGCCATACGCCACAGTCCGAGTCCCGCCTCACGTGTTGCCTTTATCTTACGGCACCCACCCATGCCCCCAGATGCTCGAACCTCTACCTAAGGTCATTGACGGGTCGCTGACGTCAGCGTGCCACCCCTCCCCCTCCCCCCCCCCCCCCCCCCCCATCGTCGGGGCGCACCAGCCTGCAGTTGTGCAGCGCTTGCTCTAACCTCACGCCGTCGGGGCCGGCCAGGTACCCGAATCTGAACCGGACGTCGGTGAGCCCGTACCAGGTGTGCGCGCTGGTCGACACCGACTGCCCGGAGGCGCTGCAGCAGCAGCTGACGGTCGCCGACGAGGACGGGGGCGGCCGGCCAAGAAGCGTCGCAAGGAACCCATCCACCCGGACATGCTGCTTAAGTGGTGCCAGAAGCAGCTGGCGCTCACCGACATCCGCGTCACCGACCTCACCGGCGACTTCAAGTCAGGTGGGGGCGGCGTCAACCGCTGCGAGAAACCGTGCTGTGAGGGCCGCAGACGGCTGTTAGCGAGGAGCCGTACTGTAGGGCCGGCAGACGGCTGTTAGCGAGGAGCCGTACTGTAGGGGCCGGCAGACGGGCTTTAGCGAGGAGCCGTACTGTGGGGGCCGGCAGACGGGCTGTTAGCGAGGAGCCGTACTGTAGGGGCCGGCAGACGGGCTGTTAGCGAGGAGCCGTACTGTAGGGGCCGGCAGACGGGCTGTTAGCGAGGAGCCGTACTGTAGGGGCCGGCAGACGGGCTGTTAGCGAGGAGCCGTACTGTAGGGGCCGGCAGACGGGCTGTTAGCGTGAGCCGTACTGTGGGGGCCGCAGACGGGCTGTTAGCGAGGAGCCGTACTGTAGGGGCCGGCAGACGGCTGTTAGCCAGGAGCCGTACTGTGAGGGCCGGCAGACGGGCGCGGATGTGTGGTGTGTGCTGTAGGACTTGCTGGTCAGCTGTGGGCATTTGCGCAGTAGCTCATCAGCTTTGAGTGGACAATGTTGCGTACGACAACTGTTAAATGCATGCATACTCTTCTTAATACCGTGTGCTCGTTTACACCGTGACGGTTTGCCCTCTTGTTCTCTTACATTGCATTCACACGCCTACACGTGCACTGGCAATTTTCTCCTCTTTGCTTGTGTACTCAGTGTAGCCAGCTGTTTACGGCACACTAGATTTAAGACCGTCATGCTGACCCAGCATCACTGCTCGCGACATCGTCGTCTTCACCATCGCTGCCAGCAGCTGCAGCATCACGGCCGTCGCCGCCGTTGCAGGGCTGGCGCTGTGCGGCATCCTGCACAAGTAACCGGCCGGGCCTGCTGGAGCTGTCGGCGCTTGAGGGCCGGACGACCCGCTGGCCAACAACCAGCTGGCCTTCGAGCTGCTGGAAGCGCGCGCTGGGCGTGGCCGCACTGTGATGATGAGCGCCCAGCATGATGGCCGCCTGCAAGCAACGGCCCGACCGGCCTGGCCATGACTCAGCTATCTCAGCCAGGTGTAAGACGCGCTGCACGGCGAGATCCCCTACGTTCAAGCCCAAGATCGCCCGTGAGTGGGCGCGGGCGCGGGCGCCGGAGGGCGTTTCGGCGCGGTGCTGCGGTCCAAGCGAGATCTGGGTGGGAACTACGGTGGAGTGAGGGCTGCCGAGCTGTTTTAGACGGTTTTTGTGGTTCAAGGAGTCCGTTCACGTGCGGAATGTGGAGCATGCGTCAGATTGTACCCGCGGGGTTCCTCTCGGACTCCTTCGTCATTGTTCTGTGCGTGAATTTGGAGACGGCAAATGTACGGAGACGACAAATGCAAATGTACGGCACATGTATGTGGCTATTAACATTTTTGTCATTTTCGGCGATAGTTGTGATGACCAAGGTTTGTTACCGCACTCATTATCCAGTATTTCGTTCGTATCGCGTTGTTTCGGCGATGGCGGCCCACTATCGCCCTATCGCTGTGGTCTCTGTGTGCGTGCCTCATGCCTCACTGCCGGCCGTGTGATGCTGACGGCGCCCGCTCGCCGTCAGGAGCTGCTGCGGGACGAGCCAGAGTCGGGCCGGCGCTCCTCGGCCGGCCGCACCATCCCCGACGGCCGGCGCAGCTCCCTCAGCGAGAACCACCGCAAGCAGCGCAAACGCAAGAGCGACGCCGTCAAGGACAAGGTACGTCCGCTGGTGGCGCCGGTGCCGATGCGGGCGGCCGCGTGTATCCGCAGGGGTTCGGTTGGAGGTGGCGCTCGCTGTGGGCCGTACAATGATATGAAAGAGGCTAGCACCGCGTGAAGCCGCCGTCGCCGCTGCCTCGGCTGCGGCTGGATCACGAGGGATGTGGGACGTCACACTCTCGCTGGCGCTGAGGCTCCGGGGACGGTGTCTGAATGGTGATGCCGCCGTGAGTCACCTCGCCGGTGGAGTTCGTTGGCCAGCTCGGGCCGCGTTTCGTCACAGTCGGATGCTGTCGCCGCCTGACTGACGGCTTTGACGGGCCTGGTTTCTGTGCTCCGTGACCTTGCTGGTCGATCGCTCCCGAACCCTTTCCTTCGTGACCGGCCATCGATCGCGTCGCCGACCTTCGGCGACTAACCGGACGTACGCGGGTCCTTTGACGACCGCTCCACCGGTCCGGCCCTGCCGAATGCCGGCCGCGAGTCGCCCGACGCCCCGTCCCCGTCCCCGTCTGGTCGCGAGGCGGCTGGCGAGGTCGGCCCGCTAACCGACGGCCGCCGGCAGCAGAGACCGCAGAGCACGACCCGTTCGCGCCGCCGCCGGTCGGCTCCGCTCGACCGCAAAAGATCGCGCTGGTGGCGGACGCCTTGGCGACGGCGACGGTCGCCTCTCCGTCTCCGAGGAGGACTCGGAGGGGGCCGACGAGGACGGCGAGAGGATGGCGGCTGGGCGGCTGCCGGTGGGCGCGCTGGACGCGCGGCTGGCGGCGCTGGAGGCGGCCTGCGCGGCGCGACCGCGCGAGCGCCTCCAGATCCGCCAGCAGCGGCGCCAGCTGCGCTCGCTGGCGCAGCGCAAGGCCGAGCTCGAGGCGACGCTGATGGAGCGGAACGCGCGCGCTGCCGCCGCGCCGCCTCGCCGGAGGACGACGTCAGTCTGCACCTGTACCGGCGCACGGCCGCCGACTTCGAGCAGCGCCGCCTCCGCCTCGAGGACATGGTGTTCAATCCTGTGAGCGGCGCGCGCCGAGCCGCGTGGGAGGTCTGCAGTGACACTAATGCCCGCCCGTCCGCCTGCCTGCCTGCTGCCGGCCTGCCGACCCGGGACGCGACGGGAGCCGGCGTCGCTGTAGCGGCCATCTGCCCGACGGAACCGACGCCGCTCCTGCCAGCTGCCGCTGCCTCACGTTTTGCGCGCGTGTGGTGTGTTTTTTGACTGTTTTTGAAGGGTTCTTGGCCCGTGTTGGTATGGCGTGACCTTTAACCTACCGGCGAGAACCGCTGGAAATAACGCTAACCTTGTTTTGGCGTTTAGTTTTTGTATTGCCCTTTGTTTTAGTCCGTTTTAGCACTAATACCCGTGACCTGTTTTGCCAGTGACACTACTCTTTGTGTTGTTTGTTCGGTTTTTGGGTGCTGTTATTCTGCTGTGGTGGACAAGGTCACGACGTCTGCGGTCCTCTGCCGAGTAAGCAGGCGGCTCGTTGCCCATAGGTGAAGCTTCGATAAGACGTGACCGTTTGATATCGGGCTGTTTCAAACCAGTACGCCGTTGCGTATCGACGTGACGTGGGTTTGGGTAGTTAATGGCACCGTTCCATCGACAGGGTCGTGTCATACAGGACCTCAAGAAGGACGTCAAGCAAGCGGCCGGTCCTGAGCTCACCAAGAAGGAGGAGTTCGCCACCAAGATTAAGGATCTGGAGGCCAAGTTTAAGGGCCAGACCAGCCGCCTGACAAAAGCCCAAGGTATGTCAGTGAGTCAGTGCTCTCTGGCTGGCTCCCATGATTACGTAGTTGTTTTTAAACTATGTGCTGTTAACGTGGGCGGGTGGGTAGCGAGCCAATGCCGTGCCCGACATTTTAGATGGCTGTTTCTTTCAATCCAAGCACGCGTCGTACTCCGGATATGTTGAAATTGTTCACGGTTGCTCACGGGTTTATGACCTGTTACGAAGTCCCCTCGCAGGGCTTGCCAGATGGGGTCCTCATATCCCACAAGCGCGGAGACGGTGTGCTGGTAGCGCGATTGCAAGCTGGCATAGTTTGTAAGAAGTGGAATCGCCGCTTTTATTTCTGCTCGTGTTTTATATTGCCGGCCGTTTCTGTCCCGGCATTGCCGACGAAGAACTGAGGCTACTGTGTTCCATTTCGGCCTCCTCGAAAGAGAGTGCTGTCGCACATTTGTCAGCTGTGAGGGAGGTGCTCGGCGGCTCCCACCAGCGCGGCCGCGACATGTCAGCTGTGAGGGAGGTGCTCGGTGGCTCCCACCAGCGCGGCCGCGACATGTCAGCTGTGAGGGAGGTGCTCGGTGGCTCCCACCAGCGCGGCCGCGACATGTCAGCTGTGAGGGAGGTGCGCGGTGGCTCCCACCAGCGCGGCCGCGACATGTCAGCTGTGAGGGAGGTGCTCGGTGGCTCCCACCAGCGCGGGCCGCGCATGTCAGCTGTGAGGGAGGTGCTCGGTGACCTCCCACCAGCGCGGCCGCGACATGTCAGCTGTGAGGGAGGTGCTCGGTGACTCCCACCAGCGCGGGCCCGCGACATGTCAGCTGTGAGGGAGGTTGCTCGGGTGGCTCCCACCAACGCGGCCTCGACATGTCAGCTGTGAGGGAGGTGCTCGGTGGCTCCCACCAGCGCGGCCGCGACATGTCAGCTGTGAGGGAGGTGCTCGGTGACTCCCACCAGCGCGGCCGGGACGTGCCCGCCGCTGTCCTGCCCGCGCACCACACCGCCTCCCTGCGATGTCCTCAAGTGCAGCTTAACTCGTGTCCCCATCTAACAGCGTCCAGCGCCATCGCACGATCTCGCTCCACTTACGTCCCGGGGCCGCGTCGTCCGTCACATCTCCAGCCCGGGCCTTCACCCCTTGTCCGGCTGGCGCGCGCGCCGCCATGCCCACGCTCGGCTTCCCTGACGCGAGGCGCCCCGACAGGACTTGTCACGCGCCATCGGCCGCATCGAGAAAACCGACTGGAACCTGCAGCAGATCGAGAAGAAGATCGAGGACAGCAGCGCGTGCACGTGAGACCGCGACCTCGGCCAGACCGTCCTCAGTGTGTGGAGCAAGGCATGTTCGATGACAAGGTGGGTTGTCCCAATCGCCGGCCGCGACGCGTCACAGCGGGCGGACGTGGGCCCCACGGAGGGCGGGACTGGGGGAAGGAGAGGGGGGGGGGGGGGGCGTGGACGG